CTGCAACAAAGGATGGTAATATTAATGAAAGCGTATCTGGCACTCATTCAAATCACTGCCTTCCTCAGTGCTGTGAAAAGAAAAATCACTTCCCAATGGAAATTCACCATTTTCACAGAAGTAAAATTACTCTTCTCTGTAAAAATGGGCTTTCATAATTTGCATTAAGTGTAATTAAATAATGTAATTAAATTGTTGCAGTAACTAGTGTATCTCTGCATGCTACTTCGCTCCAGGAACACTCAGTATGTATTTGCAATCCAGATTGAAAAGAACTGTACTCATAGCAGAACTCTGCAATGTCATATCAGGCTAAAATGTTTGTTCGGGTTTTCAACAAACTTCACAAAATAAGTGGTGTTGAGATACATGAAAACAAACCAGCAGATGTGACTGTGAGGCATTATGGAATGGCAAGCAAAATTTAATAAAAACTTTAAACAAATAGGTAGCAATATGTCCTTATGAAGGACACCAAATCGAAAATACAGAACACAAGAAAGAGAAGACAAAGCAGTTTGTAAGTGATCTCTCTTACACAGAAGGATTACATTTATTCCAGTGAATAAATGTTGTCTTTTATATACAATGTAAACTTAATAGCAATACAAAATGTTATTGGTTCTTATTTTGCTATTTATAATGATGAAATAGCGCTGAAGTTGTATTTGGTACTGCAAGAGAGAGGCCTTATTTGTAATAGTAACAACTGGAACCAAACATCATGGAAGTTAATGGAAGGATACCTATTGCTTGAAATGGCATGCAGATAATTTAGGGTCTAACCTACAAGTGTGGTCCCAAAACTATATTAATACCCCCGTTTCAGTGGGGGGGGAAAAAAGGAAAAAAAAAGGACTCTGCATTCATCATTTTACATGAACACTTTCTGTTACCTCCATATACTCCGCTTTGTCCCAGACTTATCTAGAAATGCTGCCATGAAACTACTTCTACTACTGTGCCTATGTTCCTAGATGCACAGATTATAAAACAAGAGGTTCTGTTCCCACGAAATATATCTCTATCATCCTTTCCAAGTAACAAAAGCAATTTCCTGCACGCCTGATCCTACCTGACCTACAGATGCTGACAGACAAGCGCTGTGTTACCACTGGCTAATACTTGAGCTCAAACTAACCACTCATGGACCAGAGTGCCAAGGATTCATTTTATCTCGAGTTGGCCTGTTCAACCTAATTCATGACAGTTCCCGCAGATAACTCAAATATTTGTTGTTGTTAGTTAATTAGGCATTATGCCAACAACCAAAAGGTTTTTAAAAGGTATACTACATGCAAGTCATTTACAAGCTACAGGATCTGAAAACTTTTACCTGTAGGTGAGACATGGGCAGGAACTAAGAAATGATCTGTCTGGAGACTTGTACATGGTGAATTCTGCAGAGCCACTTCCCCAGTGGAAGGGCACCCATTCTCCTTAGAAGTCTCACAGCACCCAGAGGAATTACTAGTAACACTTGGCAAGGAAGAGACATACCATTTCATCCTACCAAGATGTCACCTCACTGCTTTGAAGGTACCTAGGAAAAACTATGGTGATCCTGGCAATACTCCTCCTTACTTCGTGGAGACAGGCTTTCAGCAGAGCCATTTCAGTATTTATTAAAGTAACAAAAAAGAAACTCAGAAGAGCCCTGTACCTGCTCAGTTTCATGCGGAATTAAACTGGTCCCAGCATCTTCAATCCTGAGCAATACAAGTGTAGGAAAGCCACATCTGTATTATCCCCCTTTGTGAGCTGCCCCAGCTGAGCTCAGTCACAGCCCTTAATTAATACCCCTCCATCCTATTGCATCTTAGATTTATTTGCACTTCCCTTCGGCTCCAAGCTACATGAAGCAAAATACATGTGCAGCCAGAGGACTAGCAGCAATCACCCTGCAACTCCCTGCAGAGGTTCAAAAGCAGCCAAGGGCTCCTTTCTGTGGAAAAACTTATGATCAGCTTAACTAGCAAAATATGCTGTTCCACTGTATCTACCTACAAATAGCTCACCAGGCCGATGTTCTATTCCAGAACAAAAGTTACTTTGACTTTTTACTCCACACTCTGATAATTATTCTGGAATTAAACGAGTTTTTATTCCAGAGTAGAGTTGCCCATCGGGGAACCATTGCAGCACAGGTAACTGCATCAGAATAAGCTATGGCAGCGTATGAGAAAATTTCCGAGTGCAGAAAGCCTAACGTCTCAGAATTGCTGAGATGTTATCTCTGACCTACTTTGCTCAAAGTACCATAGAGAGATCTCCACACAGGCATCCAATTATTTGTTGAAATCAACAAGTACTTTTGTACTACACAGAATTAGTACAAGGAAAAAAAGAGAGTAGAGGAGGATGATAGGTGGAAAGAAGTGTTCTTTTTGTAGCATTTGCAGTACAGGAATTGATTTCACAAACATGCTCATCCAAGCAATGTAGTTCATTCAGCAGACCATCAACTCCCATCAAAGAGTCATTCTTAACTTAAAATCAGCATGCCCATAACAGAAACAAATGAACGGAAAAGAGCAGAATAGTTCTTTAGAAACAGCCCAGCTGTCTCATGCATCCGACACTCCCACATACAAATGTTTTCATTGAAGGGGAAAAAAGTGCCAACCCTGAAGCTGAATACCATAGTTAAAAATGGCCATCAAAACCCAACTACATACCATGCAAACAGTGTAACCTAAGACACTAAGCACATTCCCAGAGAGGACCACACCAAAAAAGGACACTTCTGGAGTTCTTACAGTATTTTCAAAAGCAATGGTCCTAACAAAGGATTTTACAAGGCAATAAAACACTTTACTAGGTAATTAAATTCTCCTAAATTGGCTTTAACAAGGAATTAACAAACTCTGGGTTGAATATGAGAAACATTACCATATTTTTTTGCTTCTCTGAAACCTTGTGAAATTTTGATGGGGTTTGAGAAACAAATTTAGAACAAACTGATTTAAGGAGAATACATTAATAAGTATTCCAGTAAATGGTGTGGTATATAACATTACAGGAAGTGTCACTTTTACCTTAAGAGCACAGTTAATCTCACTTAAGTCAGAAAGTCCACTCTGGTGCAAACTGTTGCAAGATTTAGCTCAGTTAGTGCAGATATGAAATTTGCTACCATTTATGGGATGATAATGTCTGTTTCTCTGATCTGTGAAAATTAAAGCCTTGTTCAACTGAAAATACAGAAGGTTTAGTATACGATGGCACCCCTGTACCATAAGATACTATTTCTTAGAACAGTTCTGTACCTTTGATAAGCTATTGAGTGAAAGACAAAAGAGAAAAATTGTTTTCTCTGATTAAAAAAAAATTAAAAAAACCCAAATTCAAATTCTATGCTAAATCAAATTCTTAGGTCAGACTGGAAAGCAATTTAGTTTCATCTTAAAAATTTTCTTCCCAGACCCTGAGAAAAAGACAGTAAAGAGAGAGAAATACTACTAATGCTTTTAATATTTATTAGAAAAAACATAATTAAAATAATACTAAGAGAAAAAATAATTCTCCATCTGAAATCACTTATGGTAGCCTATCTGCTTGCAGAAGCAAGATAAAAAAGGGTCTATTATTAATGAAGCTTTAACATTTAATCAATGCAATTTCCAGTTTCTAACAATAAATTCTGTAGCTGTAACCACACCAAAAAATTACACCAATTGCAAAATGGGGGCAGAGACTCTGAAACCTGCACTTCTCATAGCATGATTAGTTAGTCCAGTAAATACCTGCCATCACCTTGTTGAAATACGTGACCACCAAATGAAAATGAAATGATAGGGCAGATGAAAAGTATAGCACGTGCAGTATACTTGACAGAAGTCTGAATTGAATGATGAATTAAGGTTTTGTTTGTTTGTTTGTTTAGGATACTGGTTGGTTTGGGTTTTTTTTCCAGAGGTAGATTCACAAGGTTTTGGGTTTTAGACATTAAACCTGAAGTGCTCTGCCACCTAGTTAGCATTCCCAACCTGAAAACAGCCAACTGCATTCCCAGTACCAGCAGATTTCAGCTCATGTCCCCTACTCTCTTTTTTTCCCTTATACTAATTCTGTGTAGCACATACCCATCGATACTCAGGGAAGAAAGCCTTTTGCTATTGAGGCTTATGAATCCCTTATGAATCAAATTTGACTTAACAATCTGCAAAACAATAAAATTTGAAAATTACTATTCTCTATAACTCTTGGAGGTGTTAGCAACCTGGAATGAGGTCTACAAGAGACACAATATTGAACCAGGGTTAGCCAAGCTTCCCTCTTGGAAATTCTGAAGAAAAGTACGCACCTAACCTCATTAGGAGGCCAACAAGCATGGGCCATATGAGCACAGAACTAAGTAACAACTAATTTCCTTAGGATTTATTTCTGATTATTAAATTCTTTGAGGTCTAACAATACAGAAATGGCATTATAATTTTTTCCCTATGGCTGTGATACCTGAAGTGTCTCTGTAACTTCTGGATTCTGTAATCTTTAATAAGAAAGCGTAGACCACATTGTACAAGCTTGAAATGTTCTTCTCTACCTACTCGCCTATTTTAATGAACCTTGCAGAAACACAGTATCTTTGAAATTATTATATTCAAACTTAGCTGAAATTAGTTAACAGGTTTCAAAATTATCATTAACACTGTCAGGCTTAAGCAAAATTATGTACAGAGGAATACATAGAGTGGAACAGCATAAGCTTTACTTCAGTAGGAACCAAGGCTGAAGACACTTAAATATTCATGGCAGAAGGGACAAGCCACTCTCTCTTCCCCCCAGCACTGAAATGGCAGCTAGTTACCTCACTCCCTCCTGTTAGGCTAGCACTGCAAGTTCTGATGTTTTTATCCCCAAACACAAGTGAAGGACATCAATTATTTACTAAAAAATCCAAACCAACAACCTTTGTTCTCATTAGCATAAATTTAACATGGTGACCATCATACTGTGACTTTCAGTAAATATACATGCAATAGATCACATTCATATACCATGATATATGGTGCTGCTGTTGCTGTTAAGATACGATTCAACCAATGGTGCTTGTTCTTCCGAATGTTTCATTCTGCGCGTCCTTGTGCGACTGTCCACATTGGACTGAACCATTAATGGCTCCTGGCGCTTTTTTTTCTGCTTCTGTTCTAGCAACGCTCGCTGAGGAAAATAGAAAGAAAAGCACCTGTTACTGGACTCCAAACAGTAGCAATCTATGATGAAAATCAATGGATATCTTTACACCTTCTCCAGTTTTCCAGTGGCAGCAGTTGGCAAGTGAGATATTGGGATATCGGGTTACAGGAAATCTTTCCAAAAAAACATAACCAACCCACTGCTAAAACACCTTCTGCTGAAAACAGAAGTAATTAAAATAGATCTTTCTGAGCAGTCTACCAACTGTCAGAGCTTGCTTGGAAATAACCCTTGGGAAAACACCAGTGTGAGAGTACTGGCTGTGAAGCAATGGGAGGGTAAGCAAGGGCATGAGGCAGAGATGCCAACTTAAGTTTCTGTAAATTAAAAGCAGGTAATCTGCAAACTAGAATCAAGTGATAATGCTCGACGTGAGCCTAATTTAACAACTATACAAAATAAACTTTAATTAAACACTTGAATTTCTCAGCTAGACCTGCTGAAAACCCCAAACCTTCAGCATCTGATGGCACCATAGGCACCTCTCGCTTTGAGCCCTCTTCTAGAACCTTAGAGAACTGAACTGTTAATTTTACTTATCCATTACCTTACCATTTCCCCGCTCCTGTACAGTGATTTTTTGCTTTTAGAAAGGAGATGGACTAAAACTGAAGAACAAGAATGGAGAGTGGACTTCAAAATGATCAGAATCTAGTACAGGATTATGGCATAAATAGAAAGTATTCGAATTTGAAAATGAGATGCTGGTAGACATGCAAGCTGATAAAACAATGGGAACAGAAACATATAGAAAAACATAAAATTAAACTCACAACGTTTAACTATAAACATGAAAAAGTTTTGTGAAAAAGGGACCAAAAGAAAAGTGAAAACCTCAAACCCCATTAAAACCTGATGGCAAAATTCCCTGAGATTTCATGGAAGAGATTCTGAATCACTGTCTTGTACAAGTCATGTAGGAATACAGTAGCAAAATAGGCAACATAGCACATAGTGCCACTAGTTTACAGCCACAAGGGCTAAATCCATGGAATGAACAGGAAAGTATGTAAAAACTTTGTGGTAAACCTCTGTTGGCTGGCATGTCTGCCAGAACCTCTTGTCCCTTCTGGTCCATCAAAGGAGTAACAAATATATTGTAAGTCAGCCAGCTTAAAACAAGTCCAAGGCAGTGGAAATGAGAATCACTCAAACCACAGTCATAAGAAAAATTTTAATGGAAGTTAGACTTCTAAGAAAGCTGTAACCTCCACAGACCTCTCTTTTGCATTCCCTAATCAGAGGATGCAATCTTCTATCAATTACCAGATATAGACCCAAGATCTAGAATTCAGAGAGCAAGTAGATCCCCCTCCAAAATCTTACCTGCCTGTCAAGCTTCTGCTGACGCAGGCTGCTCCCCTCATCATCCAGAACACTGCAAAGACAAGGAGTACGTAATTGGAACAAATTTATCACCCAGAACAACACCTAACAGCAATCACTGGAGCAAACTCTTGCAGGAGTTATCCATATAAAACTCCCACTATGTTTCATGGAAGGTTGCCTGCCCTAACCTGCAAAAGTTGACTCGAGAATTTACATGCAGTCCATGAAAAACTGAAAAACTCTGGTTCACATAAACTTCAATAAAAATATATATTCGGCCAGTTCACAAAGAAATGCAAAATCCATAGTCTGTAGCTCATTTTCTTCTCCACTGTCTTCTGATGCAAAATGCCAATGTATACAGCAACGGGGTTTGACTGAAAATTTGCATATAAAGCATATAAAGAGTGAAGAGTATAAGAGAGCTGCTTAGCAACTCACCAGTATTTAAAATTACAATAGGAAAATTAACTGTCTAATCTTTTGCACACTGAAAACCAGAATTTATTCCTGAATATCTCAAAAGGCACACTGATTGCCATGCACTTCAACATTTAGAGACTGGCAAGACAAACAGTATTGTGCACTGCCATATTTCTGTCTGCTAATTGTTGCTACTTGGGAGATTAGCTCCTGCACATTCAATCATTTTCATTAATTAGATGTTAAAAACTAATGGCATTGAAATCAGAAAATTATTTTTGTGAAGTATTTTATCAAACTACTGACTACACTTTATTTTTCTGGAGAACAAAGGTCTCTATTGTAGGAACATCATGGTTAAACACTGAACATAGATAATTACATCTTTTAAACTGTAATATATCATCTACAAGGAAAATAGTTATATAGAACAAAAAAAATAGCCTCTTACAAGTAGAATTCATTTTCTCTTACAACAGATTTTTGTAAAAGATTAGCCCCTTTTTTATAATCACTCTTAGCAATCAAAAAGAAAAAAAGAAAAAATCCAGAGCAAACAAACCTGGATTCTGACCTACATACAACCAAATTGTATTGCAATGGAAATTTCATAAAAAATGTGACTTCCCAGGTATTAATATAAACTCTTTAGGAGACAGTAACTTTATAGTAGAGTTAGATAGGAAGCTAATAAAGGCATGCAGAATGCCACCTTTCCAATGCCAGCATTATCAAAGACCTATAATTAAGCATTATTGGTAGCATCAGCCTTTTACAATTTATACTCAGGTTATATGTTACAAAAGGCTGATGTTCCACAGAATGAAACTATGCTGTACAAGTACCTCGGGTAGGAAATTACAGTCTCTTGTAGAGGTAATGCATTACTCATAGAAAAAAGCCCTCACACTCACAAAAATCTTCTGCTTTACACCAAGCATTCTTCGTTTGATAAATTACAGAAACAAGATATAAAAAGCAGATACACATTCCTCCATGGTATACAATATCAGTTTTTTTTCAAGAGTGCTTCACTACAACTGCAATACACATTAGCTGCACTGTTAGAAAGTAAAACTACCCAAACGGATATCTTTGGCCAAACAATTGAGTAAAAGATGCCTAAGTATAAAGTTTCAGGCTTAATGGCCTGAACAAATCCTCCTCATTTAAGACAATGCTTGAAAAAAGCCAAAACCGTGTAATGATGCTAATACAGACCATAAGAACTGCAGGGGCAGCGATGCACATACCCAGAGAGGTCGAGAGCCAATACTGCTCCACTCCACCAGTCATTTGCAGAGCTAAGGAGAAAACTCTGATCTCTTCTCATCTGCTGCTTTATAAATCAAACTATGCTGACTCCCTCAGATATGTTAAATGAGCTATATGTACACAAACCAACAGTTCAGTAATTATCTTTATGTGAATATAATGGTTTTCAGTATTATGCTGGATTGGCTATAATTCTAGATCCTGTATCACAGACAATGTGTCTAAGCGCTCTGGATGACTCCAGCTTCCTCAGCTTTCCCACCACACCGTATCCTGTCATAACACACTGCACGGAACAAGGGAGCAGGGAAACGTCCTCGGTCAGGTTCTAAACCTTATCTGTGACTCCCTGGGAAGCTATAACAAGCTAAAGTCAGGTTCAACTAAACAAGCACAGCTCCCTCAGGTCTCTTTATGCCCAACTTTACCACGGTAAACATGGTAGTTTAAGTAACACCATAGCAAACACCAGTCAGAGGAAGTGTGTGATTTGCATTGATTCAGCATTCCACAAATACAAAGCAACTATCAGACACACCAAAGGACTGCAAAAAAAATGAACCTCCATCCAAAAACTGTGGATGCTGTAACACTAAAACACTTCTCCATATTGCCCTTCTACTGCAAGACATTGTTTTTAAAGCCTCTGAATATATGCAATCAAAGCTGACACCAAAAGCAGCATGCCTTGAAAACCAGCTGACAAGTTCGTCTGGAACTTCCAGGTCCTTCATTTTCTCACTTCAGATTTCATAAAGTTCTGGGTTGTTTTCCACAATCCTTTTGTAAATATGCGTTAACTACAAACCTTGCATTATTTAAGCCATAACATTCAACAACTAAAATTGAACTCCAGCTTTCTTCAATGATACCGAGGTTCAGTAGAATCCAGTTATTTCAACAATTCTCACCCCCTCCATATTATTGGACTTGGACTAGAATGCCTTACTCCCACCAGACAGACAACACCACTCTTTTGAATCCTCCACAGTGTAAAAAAAGGCCTTAAAAGTCATCTCATTACCACCAACTCTGTCTATTTTAACAGTTACTCAATGCCAGTATCAGTGAAAAGCTGCAGTTCTGTCCTTTCTTGATGCCTAAATAATCACCTTCTGCTAGAACAGCAGAGCACTCTAGTTTGAGACTGTGTACTTCGTTAATATTTTCTACAGGACTAGAGGACCTTGGAGTTGCTGATTAGCGGCCGATTAGCGGCCAATATTTCACATTCCCTGATTTTCAATGGAAGAACTCTCCTGAGACTGGGTGACTCCCAAGATTTGCCATTAAGGGACATCAGGTTTTTAATAAATAAATAAATAAATAAATAAATAAATGGATGGATGGATGGATAAATAAATAAATAAAAATAATAAGCTTTGTTTCTGTAGCAATTCCATCGGGCCCTCACTCTTGCTGCCTTTAAAAACATCTGCAGTGGACTCTGAGATGCAAGTGTGTAACCACCATTGACCCTTTCTCACTCTTCAGTGAAGCTTTGCAGAAGGATTTAGCAGATGACCTTGCCACAGTGTCTGGCAGTCCATGCACTCTGACAGACGCTCCAGGGTCCAAGAGCTGAAATCCAGAGAACCTACCCTATTCTTTCTTTGGAAAACACAAAAGTCTAGGAGCAGAAGCACAGCTTTTGCCCTTCCTGGTCTTTGAAAAGAACAAAAATCAATTGCTCTTTCCTCTGGAAGAGTTGTGCACATGGTGAGGATCCAGCCTACCCTGCCCAGTTTCAGAAGTGGCCATGGTTTTGTTGCTCAGTGGTCCAAATAACGTGGATGGTCAGAGACTAAAGGCCCAGTACAGTGGAAAAACTATGTCTGTAACATGGCAGGACGACTACAGGAAACAACCTCATAGAGAGCAAGGCTGTTAGAACAATTCTGCCTACATGTTCGATGTGATGCTAGAAAATCCCAGCAGCAGCATGAAACTCAGTCAGTCTTAGTAGAGAAATATAACTTTATAATTCATTAAAATTGAATTATTGAAGAGAATGCGTACATATTAGCAATCTGCTGAGCACGCTGAAGCATCCTGAAGATCCAGCAAGGTTCATTTTTACTCCTGTTTGATCCAAGTATCATGTATCCACCTGGCATCTTGGCTATGGCTTTGACCCCATTTAAAACAAAAAGCAATTTTACACTATATAATATTGTAAATAGCACTTCAGGTTTGCAGTAATAGTCTAGTCCAAACATATCAGAGCTTGTATATATTTCCTCCAGGGAAGACCCATCCATCTATACATAACTCGAGCAACCCACCCATTAGAGCTTAATGGATATTGGGCTTAAGAAGTCAAGCCTATAGCTATATATCTTAAAGATTCGTACTAGCAGCCTGGACCAAAGCTTAGAGAATTAAGTATTAAATTTAGATAGCATATTTTCACATTTTAAACATGGCATTTGATTCAAATATCCCCACCTCCTATTTTCTAAAGGCAAATACATTAAAAGAACCTTTTTGTCAAAGTATTACTTTTCATACCACCTTCTTAAGACACAATCTATTTTACAGAGGCAGTTTCAACATTAAATTCAATTTACACAAGAACAACCAGGCTTTCTATACTGCTGCATGTCATAATGAAGACAAAAATATAAGCAAGAATTTTACTATTCTAAGCTCTTTATAATCTGTATTCCTTAAAAATCATTTAGAGAGAAACCCAAGACCAATCAATGATTACATGAAGCTCCACAATTTACTTCTGAGATGAAGGCAGGAGCTTCTGTAAATCAACATCTTGCTACATTTCACTGTAATTCCACATGGACTGATTTCAATTTAAGTAAAATCGGAAAAGCCTTAATTCAAATAACAACACATTTCACAGAAAGTACCTCACCTTTACTCTTTGACCATGCAAACTGCTCACATTTCAGTAAGCCATTGCAAGAAAAAATAACTAAGAAGAAATGTTTTCATTTAGAATGTGCAAGATGCATGTAGTCACTGATTTTACTTATTTTTTTAAAAGAAGAAGTCTGACATAGTAAAGCAGCTCTGTTGTTTCTGCCTGACAAATGACGCAATGTTTTTGTTCCTTCCTGACACTGCTTCATAAAGAAACATTTTGATGACAATACCTTTTTTACCAGGACAAAGGTTCAAAATCATCTCTCACATCTCTGCAGCCCAGCACTAATTGCCATGAGAAGTGTTCCTGGTCAAACAAGCAAAGACATATACTACCACTAAACTTTCATACACTGTTTAAAAGTGTCACCCTTGCATTTTCTCTTTCTGCTGCTTCATGATAATACATTACTAACAGCAGCACCCAAAAACTCTA